CTGCTTTCGGAAAAGATTAAAATATTAATCGTCTCTCATTTGTAGCAGGGTTAAAAACCAACTCCTAGATATTCCCAGACTTTTCCAATAAGTCAAGCCAATTTTTACTCTGCCTCGTTGAGAGGTTCAAAACTGGTCTTTTTTATGGTTAATTCGTTAATTATTTTCCTTAACTGAAACACCACTTATAAGTGAAAGCAGTAGAAAATAATACGCTGATTTTTAGTTAATGCATGTGTTATTGTTGGGGAATTGTTCTCCCATTTCTAGCCGAAACCAGAAATCGAAAAATAATTAATCTTCTCCACCCTTTTTCTTAACTCATTTGCCGTTTACTTTTTCTATGATATCGTCTCCCGTCAATTCTACCACCATCATTTTACCTGCTTCGGGTGGGCTTTTAATGTCTCTACGATAATAAATAACCTTCTCATTGGGGAGAACTTGTTTATAAAAAACTCGGATTCGGTGCTCGTAAAAAGTAAAAGTTATTCAATGACTAGGCTTGGCAGGGTCCAAAATAAATCCTACACCAGCATAACGAGTAATAAATTTCTGTCGGTCAGAAATAAGCACATATTCTCCTCCTTCGGCTTTTCATAATTGGTCTTTTCAGTAATCGAATTGAAATTTACTCATGGCTATTATTTTTGGTCGGGGTCTAAATTATCGGCTGCGGGAATTAAAAAGAACTTGGTGAGAAAATACTTAATCGAGTAAGTTTCCGCACTGCCTTTGGCTTTGGCTATGTCCGTATTTTGTCCCAGGGCTCAAAAATGGAAGGTTAATTGTTCGGAGGGATTTTCGTGGTTAGTTAAGACGGCTTTTTTTAAATACTTTACGACTCATTCTTTTTCTCCTTTTTCTATGACACAGCTTTCGGGATTATCACTAAAAGTCAGGGTTAATTTATGCTGTTCCAAAAGAGGTTTAATGCCTCGAAGGGCTTGAGTTTCGGTGAAATAGTAATATTTTTGAAAAGAATTATAAGTCCCTTTCTTAATCCCTTTCAGTTGTTTTTGGATAAGGGCTAATTTTTGGTAAATGTTAATTTGGTTCATAGTTAATTGCTATTGGTTCGTTGTTTTTTCTCTCTCTCTCTCTTGTCTGTGTTCTTTTAGTTCTTCAAAAGTCAAATCACAGCCGAGGAATTCTCTCCCTGTGGATTGGCAAGCATCAAGGACAATAAAGGAGCCAGCACAAGGGTCGACAACTAAATCTCCTTCTTGGGTGGTGGCTTCGATTAAGGTGCGAATAAGAAAAAAGGGCTTTTGGTGAGGGTGCTGTTTTTTAGTGTCGGAAGGCTTTTTTTCCGTCCAAATACTAGGGAAAGTTCGATTAGTAAATTTCCGACTGCTTGGGGGGTTCTTTTGTAGTAAGAAAGCATATTCCCCGACACTCCGAAAATAAGAACCTAGACCTAATCATTCGGGCTTATTTCAGACTAACAAATCCACTATTTTCAATTTGGGGGCTCGTAATAATCACACCGAAACTCGGTCATTTTTTAAAATGCCCTTGTTAACTCATAACAAGCAAAATCCTGACGGCTTTAATATTCGGCTGATTTCCTTAATAATGTGGGTGATTTGGTTTTCGGTTTGGTATTGTAAGGGATAATTTTCCACCAAAACATCTCCTGTTTTCTCATATTGAGGGTCAAAGAAAACTAAACTAACACTTTTATCCTCCAAAGTGGCTAATAATTCGGTAGCCTCTCCTGCTTGTTTGCTATTTCGGCAATATTTTTGCTTAATTAATTCGGTCATGGCTTATCTCTTGGTCGGGATGACAAACTCGGCACTTGTCTCAATTACAAACTCGGATATGGCCGTCTCGGATTAATCAGGAACTATTCTCATGTTCGGCTCGTCATTCGGTAAAAAAGGCTCGGTAATGTTTTCCTTCGTAGTGAAAGGAAATAAATAATCGTCCCTTCTGGGTTTCGTGTAAATTAACTAGGGTATTTTCTAAACTCATATTTTTTGTTAGCCTTCTTTGGGGCTTCGGCCGTTCCCTTATTTGAATTGCTATAAAAAGTCTATATTATGGTCTGCCTGGGTTTTTTTTGCTGGGAGATACCAAGGCTAAACTCCCATCAGACTTACTCGTTTTCTCAATCCCAATCATCTCCAAGGGGTTTATAATATCAGTCTCAAAATCACTTAAAAGGAGGGATTTTGCTCTTGCCTTTTCAATTTCCTCGGTAAAACCATTTAGAGCCTATAAAATCTAACGAACCTATAAGAAAAAACGCAAACATCAATCATTTAAGGAAAAAAGCACTCCAAATCATGTAGGGATAGTATTTTGGCTTCCCTCGAATTTCTAGCATCCAGTCTCTTTCCCGACAACACTTAGGGCACAATAATTGGTTTTGTTCTTTTTTCTTTTTCCTTCCTCTTCTTAATTGATAAACTTGACGACATTTTTCGTTAGAACACTTGTTTGGCTGGGGGTTGGGGGAATTTCGAAACACAACCGAGACAATTATTTGCTTTTTGGGCAAAGGGTCAGGCCTTTCCGCAATAGGGGAAGTTTGACGAGAACGGATTTTTATTTTTTCGACTAATTCTTCGTAATTGTCAGTTTTCGAATTATTAATAACTTCTCGAATAATTTCTCCGTTGGGGGTTTTATTTTCTGGCATGGCTTTTATGCTGGGATTGCTTGCTTTCATAATCGGCTGTAATCCTGGTAAATATAATCGAAGTCGTTATGAATGTAAGTCTCAGTAGTGTGGATGCCACTGTGGCCTAATAACTTCTGAATAGTGGTTAATTGAGCCCCGTTATTATGAAGCAGAATTGCAAAACTCCGTCTAAAAGTGTGGGGAGTTATTCGTTTCCTAATATTGGCCTCTTTGGTTCGGGCCTTTAATAATCACCGAATATATTCGGCCTTAACGGGTTGCCCTGGTCGACTAGTAAATAAGTAATTATCAACATAAGGACGAAAATAACTAATCAGAAAAGGAGGTAGTAAAATATAACGGACTTTATTACCTTTGCCGTGTATTCTTAATTGCTGACCTTGCCAATCACTATGCCGAATATTCACTAACTCATTAATCCGAACTCCACTATAAAACAGAAAATCGAGTATTAAATTATTCCGTTCGTGAACTTCGGGGCTTTTTTCTACCTGGACGGCTTTTAACTGGCTTAACTCTTTCTCGTCAATCGTAGCATAAAATTTCCGTTGGCTGCTGGGGATAATTCGGCTGATCCGTTCTCAATCAATATTTAGTTTCTTAAACTTGATATAAGAGTTCAGAGCATATTTGGTTAACTTTAAACTGGCTGGCTCATAATTTTTCACTTGGGCTAAAAAATATTCCCGTAAATTGGGAGTAGTGATTTTGACAGGAAATCTCGTCAGTGTATCCATATAAACCCGAATGCTGTTCAGAGACAGGTTTTTGTCTTTTAACCAATTAAGGTATCTTTCGTATTTTTGGGTCATATTTATGCTTTCGGTTCGTTTTCTCCTTCTTGAGGTGGTATTCAAAATTTCCCCTCTTCTTCCTCGTCCTTTTTCTTCTCTTCCTTGGCAATGTGAACCAAAGTCTTCTCTTCGTAATGTTCCTGGAGGCACTTATTCCATTTCTCCAAACATTTGTCGAGGCATTGTTCTCGCTGATTACTTCTTAATCGGGTATGATTCTCGATTAATTGGTAAGTCGTAAAGCAAACATTACAAGTCTGCCGTATTTTTTTCTCGATGTTTTTAATTCGTGCTAATTGTTGTTTTCTTTTCATGGCTATTTGCTTAATTCTCGTCAAGTAGTCAAGGCAAATTTTCCTCGTCTTCGAACACAAAAAAACAGATATCTTTTGTCGACATATTGGCATTGCTGAATGCTCTGCCAAATTGCTCCGTCTTTTATCGTTTCTTGAAAAGCAAAAATCTCCTTTATCCCGTCTTTGTTCTCAATCCGACACTCTAACCGATAATAATAACTTCCAGCCTGT